TATTTAAGATTAGCATAGTATATTTTTGAAACATAGCAAAGAAATTTTCAGCTAAGACTGATTTAGCTGCATGTTATGTAAAGGAAAACCTTCATATTTTCTAAAGTATTTGCTGTCCTCACTGTAAGAAGAGTTTTGGTGGTCTAGTAATTACAACTGCAGTGCATTACAGTGCTCTGAGGCTTCTCATTTCTTTTGCTGTGAAGACAAGTGTTGTACCAAGATCTGCCATACTCTACATAGTGTAGATTTCTACATGTTTTTTATATATATGTGTGTTTTGTTAAAGACTGGTGATGTTCTCTTTCTGTTTTAGTCCACGAAGGCAGCCCACTGGGGGAACTTCATCGCTGTGTCCGAGATGGTGTAAAAATCAATGTCCATATCCGCACTTTCAAAGGGCTTCGTGGAGTCTGCACAGGGTTTTTGGTTGCATTTGACAAGTTCTGGAATATGGTAATTATTGTTCTAACCCTTGATTTATAACTGCTGTATTGAAAACTTGAAATTTGCAACAGATTTAAGCAAACTACATTTTGAGAATATTAATATGGTATTGCAGTTCATAAAGCAAATTTGCTCTGGCACTGGGTGCTGGGTTTCAGACATAAGTGGTGCTTGGTGTTGGATTGGCATGTCTGAGAAGTGCCTAGCCATCTTAGAGAGGTTTTAGGTAAGAGAGAAGCTTTGAAGAGTTCCCAACATCTTCAAAGGTTTTGTGTAAAAACCCAGGAAGGTAGAATATGAGGAATACCAGAAGCTTCCAAAGCTTTCTCTGCAAAACCCAATCTTCTTATAGTCGTTGCCACTTCTCTGTTTTCTTTCACTAACACATCACTGGTATGTCAATTACAAAAGCTTTTCCCTGTGTTCTACCTCATGAAGATCTTAAAGACCGTGGATGGAAAAGCAGCTATCAAATATTGTGAGCCTGGAGCTGTGAAAAGTTTGGAGGGGAGGTGGGGGAAGGATTTTGCAGGCAAAGCTCACAAAGATTTTCCAAGTAGTGCAGAATGGATGCTAGGCTTTTCTGTTGCTTTTATACCTCAGTACAACTTAGATGAATAAGAAACGAGCTCCAAAGCACAGCTTGTTCCTGGGATGGATTTTCTCTCAGATAGAACATAATTTCATAATGCTATGACACAAAAGCTGGTCCAAAGCTGCCTCATGTTTTCTTTTAATTTTGACCTTTCTGTTTCTTTTATCTTCTTCTAGGCCCTGACAGATGTGGATGAGACATACAGGAAACCAGTAATGGGCAAAGCTTTCTATGCAGAACCTCAGCTCACACTAACCCATGTAAGTAACCATCTCCAGTTTTAATTTTTCCTTAGTATCTCCTTTTTCAAAGTAGTAAAACAGGAGCATTGATTGGAAAAATATATTTACATTTGAAATATTTTGCATTCTTTTATTACAGATGAGTCTAAAATGACTTGAACTGGGGAAAAAGAAAGAAGTTTTCTGATCTTTTTGAAAGTACTTTGGCCATAGTTCAGTGTTACAGAAGTTCCACTTTAGAGTTCCTAATGTCAGATCACAGTTGCTGCTGCTGCTTAGTGTAATATACTGACCTTCTATAAGCTCACTCTTTGCTTTTTGATTTATTTGTTATGTGCATTTTTTGCACCTGTGACTGATCCGGTCCACATTTGTCCTGCCAGGTGATTGGGCAGTGCGTAACTCTGATACTAATGTTCATGGAGCGACAATCTTTGTCTCCAGCCAGCGAAACAGTATGTCTGTTTGCTCACTTGAACTTCTAGTCTAGGTACTGTGAAGCCCAAGATTCCGCGTGTTGCTCCAAAGCAAGACACTTTCTAGGATCCAGCTGCAAAAAAAGATGTTTGTGAAGTTGAGAACTGATGAGATGATAGATGAACTTCTGAACACTAAAGGAAAAAAAAATGTGACAGGGCTCTGCCTATTGAATGGCATGGCTCTGGGCATTTTGAACAACAGAGAAACATCACAAAAACTTTTAAACAGTTTCATTGTGAGGAATTTGCTTTCAAATTCCTGCCATTTAAGTCTATTTTCTGATAGATCCCACCCTTCCTTTTTTAAAGATTAGTTAAAAATAATCAAGTTGTCATTGTTCCTTTAGCCCACTCTCACAGGGATTGGCTTTCCATCCTGTTGCTGGGAAGAGACAGGGTAACTGAGAATCCTTTTAATTTGTCAGTATTTCATAAAAGCTTGCCTGCTGCCACAGTAAAAGCATTTTCTTTTCCAGTTTCAGCACTATGTATTCTTAGATTAATGAGTTCATATAGTGCTTTGGATCTGCCGCTCTAGCTGTTACTATTTTTCTATTTTTTTGTGGTCTGCTCACCTCCCAGAATAGCTGCACGGCATCTTTTAGTTTGTTTTGGGGAATGCAAAAGGTCCATCATTTTTTCAGCATACACTCTTTGCTGATTGAGGCCCCTTATCTTAGGGATTCATATCCTGCCTGAGGACACAAGGATGGAAATCTCTCTAATACTATTTGACAACATTACAAGAGTGCTGGGTAACGTGAACTAACAGAGCAACTTGGTAGCTGTCTGTTGTTCCTGACCAAAGTTAAATGCTACTGCACATCAGTATTGCTCCCTAAATTAAATTCCTCGGTGCTCACATAAAGACATTCATGCGCATGCAAGAGATCCATTCATGTTATGTCACTGTTTGACTTTGGCAAGAAAACATAGTCTTTATTGCTGGTAAAGTTTCTTCACTAATTGTGTATTGTGAGCTCTGATTTGGGATCATATACGCAAATACTACGTAGAAATGCTGAACAAGCAGCCTCTCTTGTTTTGTGAATGTGGTCATATACACAAATGTTCTTTTACAGCTGTTTGACAGACTCAAGCTGCAGGAGTCCTCAGTAAAGAAGGGAGCTGACTCTCTTGTGTATATGACCACATTCATAAAACAAATGTTCTTTTACAGCTGTTTGACAGACTCAAGCTGCAGGAGTCCTCAGTAAAGAAGGGAGCTGACTCAAAGACTGTCTCAGAGGAGCTAGCCCTGACAAATGACTCTCGGATGCCGGGACTGAAAGTTGGATCAGGACGAGGGAGAGCAGAAGATGAGCGCGAAAGGCAGAAACGCTTGGGCAGAGCTGGAGAAAAGAAGATGCCAGGTGACAGTTTGCATCTGGCTGCCAGAGGTGAAGCTGATGTGGGCAGCGGGACTGCCCACACAGAGGGTGCCAGTGCTGGTGGTACCCGTGCAAGAAGCCAGTCACGGAGAAAAAGGCGGCCCAAAGTGGATTATCAACAGGTGTTCACACGTCACATAAACCAGATTTTTATTCGAGGAGAGAATGTCTTGCTTGTCCATTTAGCACATTGACTTGGCTGAGCCTTTGTCAGTGTATTTATTTGATAGCATAAATTGCTGCTGTAGCTCTCATTGCTATTTAGCATTCTCATTAAGTATGATCATACTGTGACTGGTTTCCCATTGCCGTGACAAGGCAGGGGAAATAATTCTAACTGGAGCATCCTGAGCTTCATGCCAAAGCAGCCTCCTTAGATCTCTGTTGGGGGTCTCAGGACAAGGTCAGCAATACAGTTGTTTCTGTGAGGTGAGGGAGGTAAGCACAGATCCCATTGCTCCCTAAAAAGAAGCTAGATGGAGAGGGTTGGATGAGAATTTTGGTGTACTCAGTTATAGGAGCTAATTGTCGCACACGTTTAAGGAGCTTATGATTAGATCTCTGTCTGAAATGAATCACAAATGCTATTTTGCATGTCCTGAGTAATCTAAAGAGAAGATTGCTAATGAAAGCAACAGTTTATCTGCTGTTGTTACATGGATGTCCTCTCTTTACAAACATCTTTCTGACAGTCATTTTGAAATAGTCCCTAAAAAGGTGGAGTGACATACTACGGATGGCTATTAGCCTCTTCTTCATAGTTAGCTGTGTAATGCCCTGTGTGATAGAAAACCTCTTAGTTGAAAACTGCTCTTTTTCTGTAAGCGATGGCAGGACTTCAGTTTGTTTTCAATATCGAAGCATAGGCTTCTATTTGTAGTGCTGTGCTTTAGCTCTGATTCACCAGCAAGCAGCTAACGTAGCTGATCCAGGAACCTCCATATTTGGCGTTTATCTGTGAATGTTGTGGATGCAGATGGAAAATTGTACTTTTATATTTCACCCATTCGCTACTTAGTGTAATAGTGAAGTTTGCAACGATGTAGTTTTTCTTCTCAGATTTAAGTGTGTTTACTGAGCACAATTGTACTGTATCCAAGAGGCTTTCAAGTTCCCTCTTTTGAAGCTAGAGGTGCTGTGTCTCCAGCAGTTCTCACAGAGCAGAAATCTTCATGGGTCTTTCCTAGCCATATGAGTGATGCATCATCTCATTCCAGTTGAACTGAGCTTTGGAGGTATGCCTAAAAATGTTTTGAAGTATAAAAGTCAAACACTGCTCATGGGTGGTTTTATTTTAGCAAGAATTGTTAAGCTACTGTAGGTCAGGCCAGCCTTCTGCAGGTATAAACAGCTTTCCAAGAGAGCTACATGCAGAAGTTTGAGAGTAAATGAAGCTGTTACATTATCTAGTCTGTTTAGTTGTTGAAGGACACTAGATTTCACACTGCTATTCCTGTTTTCATCTCAACTACCTTATGCTTTGCAGCAGCTCCATGTGTTTAAGATGAAGTAGGGGAAATTGCTTTATAGCAGGTCTTGTATTGCATATAGAGGTCATGAGTCCTCAAAACGAGTGACTGTACTCTCAGAGACATGTATATCTGTTGCTGCAAATGCAGCATACTGCTTGCTTGTTGTTATGGGTATGTCTGGTGTTTGGATGAATTACAGAAATCATTTAGCAGGAGTTCCTGGACACACAAAGCAGCTGTATGCCTCTGGGGGAGCCTGAAACTTTTATGTCAACATTTCAGATGACTTGGGGCTTGGATCAGCTCAGCCACTGAGCTGCAAACCCAAATTCAACCTGGGACACAAGTGCCTCAGAATAAAAAGTACTGTTGAGGCAAAACAGTTTCATCAAGAGTGGGGAAAAAAATTATCTACAGTTTCTTATTATGCATAGCTTTATTGCTGTAATCCTTTCCTACTTTGAACTGAGACTAGGCACTAAAAAGATTCTTTTCTTGGAGGTTCGTGTTTCCTCTCCTTTTGTGCTGTTCTTGTTTATGTTCATGTGACCTGCAGTTCTTCCCTTTTGGGTTCCACCCCCGCCCCCCGTTCTCCTGTCAGTACTTTGTCTCCTCGGGACATTCTAAACTCTGGTTTAGGAAGATTGTTCTTGTATTCGCACCTAGCTGTCCTGGCTTTCTGAACCTTTACTGGCTGGCTTTTTACGTGGTTGCCAACTAACCAGAACCCTCACAAGTTAGTAGAAATGTGTGAAGCTAGAAACAAAGGGCTTATTTCTACTCCTGACTTCTCAGCAGCTTTTATTGCAAGTGAGTATTTTTCTTCATTACGTTTTTAGTTGTGGGTTGTTCTTTTCCCTCTGCATTCTGAATGTTTTGGTTTTATTTCAGTTGCTTGGGATGACCTATCTCTGCCTTTTCCATTCATACCAAAGGCTACTGGTTTTGACTTCTTTCCTTCATACTTGACCAAAGGGTGTCAGATCTCCACTCAGGCCTATGTACTATGACATCTAATTGAATACTTGCTTTTCTTTACCTCATATTCTTAATTCTCTTTGTCTGCCTAGTTTATACTCCCTCGTGCATTAAATAAGATACAACTGCCATGAATGTTCTTGTGGCTGTACTGCCCTCCTTCCTTGTCAGTTGACACTTCACCAAGTTCTCAGTTGCTACTCGAGGTCTCAGTATTTCCTCTCATCAGAAGTTTTTCTCTGAAACCTTGCAGGTGTTACTTGCTTCACATCTACATGTTTCTTTTTTTACATTTTATGAAAAATGCTGGTGCTTAGACTTGCTTTTGTGCCTTGATTTTTGTATCGTCACTGGCCGGTTCTTCCAAAATCATCACCTCAGTCAACAAACCTGGTTAAGAATTACACCGTTTGTCTGCTTTTTTATGCTCTACCTCATTATTAAACTATTCCTCCTCTATTGTCATTGTTGGAGTTATTCTCATCTGTGGAGTTGGTTAAAATTCTCTCTTCCAATTTAGATTTAATACCTTAATTGGTAGTTCTTAGTTTGTTTCCTACTTCCCTCTCCACCTTTCCTTATTTCCAAGCTGCTTCCTAAATACAGCCTCTTCTATAACTTCAGATCTTCCAAAATGTCTTCCCTTTCC